TTAGGCAAAGTCGCAGACGGAAGTTCCCCGCATCGACGGCCCAATTTGCCTGCCATGGAACGTGCGAGACAAGAATCGAAAGCTAAATAGGTGCGGCTGGAGCCTGGAGAAATACCGGAGACTGTGCGTTTAGAAGATGGCTAGTCTGGATATGCGCAATGCATGAAGAAACAAGGAGATTCGGGGATTCTCCATGTGGGGATTGACGGACTCCATTTCTCCGGCCGACGCCCCCGATTGCCCTTCGTATCTCGCATTTCCCTCAATGGTCGTGGTTAAAGTCTTAAGAGGCCTCTGAGCCATTGTCAAAACTTTAGCTTTGTGTCGTGCCAGGTTCTTCTCCATTCATCAACTTCACTGGTTCGTTTTCGGAGAGCCAGATCTTCATGCTCTGATCAGTCCGAGCGTGACCTTGTGGATGATCACTGTGTACAAAGTACACATGTTCCAAGGAAAGCAAAAAGAGACCAAAGCACAACTAATGGTCCCCGCCGCTTGGCCTCTTTCCCTTCTTTTCCAATCTTGACGCTGTCTTGACAGACTATCGGGACGCTCATACCTACAATATCAAGCTCACTTCACCATAAGTTTGGACAACGGATTCGCCTAGCGTGATTTGAACAGCTGATCGCTCAATACAAACCATCACAGATGGCTCTTTGACATCTTCACTTGGAGTCGACCTCTGGAGACCATTGACTCAGTACCTATGGTATGATGAGGCTTTAGGAACCATACGGCAACGCCACAAGAGTCATATCTCCTTGCAAGGTGTCCTGTTCACGCGCGATGAAACATCGTCCTCATGTCACATTTGATCGTTACAGGTGGTGGTCCGAGAAAATAACTCCAAAATCGAAGTCAGAATTATAAATTGCGTGGTACTAAAGGAATGGTATCCTCATTTGCGAGCACCTATTCCTCGAAAGTCGTATTTCATAAACAAAAACAAGCGGCATACACAAAAATGTATAGAAACAAAAACCACCGAGCAGAACATCCGAGGTATTGATCGTAATAGATATGAAGGACTGGATGAGTGTCTAAACAGGAAGGATATCACTCCCGGCGTGTCTACAGGTCCAGCGGCACGCGATGTGGGAATATTATCGACATCATCGATCGTGAGGCTTAGCACATTTCGCAGCACTCGATACAATCAAAGCAGCACTCGCAGGTCTCTTCGCAAAGGAAGCAGCAGCAGAGGGTGGCAAGACTAGCAGCGAAAAGAGCAGCGGTTAGCAATTGATACGCAATCACATCCACGCGACACAGGTCAAGGGAGGAAAACGAGTAGAGCTTACCAAGCACCTAGACATCCACGGTCCTTCTTCTGACGAGGCTGTTCCTGGTACGGCATTTGCTGCTGCCGAGTTTATTAGCTCTCCATTCTTCGTAGTCAATGCGATTTTGTTGTAACGTACAGGAGGTTGATACGGCTGCTGCGGCGGAGCATAGCCTTGCGGCTGTTGGGGAGGATAGCCTGGCGGGTATTGTCCCTGTTGAGGAGGGTAATAACCTTGGGGCTGTTGGGGGTAACTATATCCACAAAACAGATTAGAAACTGCCTTCAAGCGCAAATCTCAAGCACAGCATAAGAAGAAATCGCTTTATCTTCGTTCTTTCCTGCCGCTCTAAGTGCTCAAGTGGCCCCTTGCGCAGCATTTCCTTCGAAGATCAAAAGGCATGATGACAGCGCATGGTTCCATGCGAAGCGCATCAAGACTGCCTCCAACAGAGTCCAAGAAGGAAGGGCACAGCGAAGTTTGAAACACCAAGCCGGAAGGAAATGAACGAAAAGGACAATGGGAGGTGAGAAGGCTAGACGCAAACGAGTCCAAGATCACTTACTGGGGCTGATGGCCTTGATTGTAGTAGTCCGAGGAACTCATGATGGCGAGGAAGAATGTGCTGCAACGTTGAGAGAGTAGAACTGTCAGTATGGGTAACAAAAATGAGAATGGCGGACAGAGAGAAGGTGAATGATGCGATCGGTTGCGAGAAGAGAATCCACGCAACGGAGAGCCAATAACAAGGGAGAAAGCGTACCTAAGCAAATGCCAAGTGCCAGCGGTTTGAGATAGGCAATAAGGAGTTGGGAAAGGGACCAAATAAGAGAAGATGAGGGCTCCAACAGTGGCTGCGGTGTTTGAAAACTGAAAAGGGACGAAGAAGCGGAGAAAGGAGGAGAAGGGATCAGAGGGAGCTAGGCAAGCTAAGATTCGGACTAAGTTCTTTCCAGATGACAAGTTTGACAACTCAATGGGGTTTTTATTATTAGCTCTCTATCTGAATCCTTTCCACGAATTCAACTAATTTCTCAAACAACTCATCCAGGGATCAGTCTTTTTAAAATTGTCCATCCCCATCAGCGACACTGAACTCTTTATCGGGTTCGCCCGATCCTTTTTGGCGTTTGGACCGCGGAACTGGGTCGCTTCCCACGAGCCATCTACTGGTACCCCTTCAATCGTGGTTCTGGTAACAAGGATGCCTAGAACCGCCTCAGAGAATCCGCTTTTTCATGCTTAAACATAGCAGTTTGTTGCTATCAAATTCTTGGGGTTTTTACCAATGAATTCGAAACAACGGCCGCCCGCCTTTCGTGAGCTGAGCCACAGCAATACCTCTAATAATACGAGCCTGGTTACAGCCCTACTGTCTACAACGAAAACCAAGCCGCGGCTGGCGGGTCGGTAATGAGGTCATGGTTGGCCAAAAATCTCTCACCTGCCAGACTCATTGGCTGTCCGTGGCCCACAATCGGCCGCCAGCGCTACTTGATTGAGCTGGTGTGCCACTAGAACAGCTCTTAGTGGGTTCAGCTGAACATGATCATGAAATAATACCAATAGAGTATATGCTCTGGTTCCCAAGTTTGAGCTATCAGCATATCAGCCAATCGTCGCTGGCTTTTTTTTTGAGACTGAGGTGGCGCTCGTGGCTGGTGTCCAACTGAGCCACTGTCACCGCTCCCATTCGCCGATTGAAGCGGAACATGTCTTGTTGCTGCCTAAATACCTAGATACCATCACGATGAATTGTCCCCCCCACACACAAGTCACAAGGCAATATGTCGGCTCTTGTCATGTTCTCTTCGGTCACCATACAGCCACATATATGGACGATAGATTGATGCAATTATAGACAGGCTCCCTATTACCTAACTGGGAAGACCTGAAGCTATTCAAAATAACTGCTGGCTTGGGAGTACTGCCAGATCAAACACCAATAATGGAACTTTTTTTCCGCCTCGTTCATGTTCCTTGCTATGAGGCATATGATGCTGCATTGTGGAGCAACATAGCAAGTGAGCTTTTTGTGTCTAGATGCTGAGACATTGCTCACTTGGTGTGCGGGAAGAGCATTTGACACTTTTCCCAGTTCCCACTATCCGACGATGGGAACTCACTGGCAAGTCTTCTGATGAAACTTAGCCTCCACATTTCGAGCTGTCCATGCACCTCAAGCCATTTTTGCATGGCGAGCTGCACTAACCGATGCATCTGAAAGCTTGCAGCATCGGCGTTCACAGTGACGAATGAGGAGTTCCTTAGCATTTGGATATCATCCTCGAAGCTGTCGTCCACATTACATTGGACCAGACTGTCTGTATTGTCCGTCGTGTAGCTGTCAACTGCGTCTGAGTGTTTTTCTTGGGTCGGTATTACTTCTTTTTACATGACTGAAATCTTGGGGCAGACACTGATGTATTCCTTGCCAATCAAAGAAGCTCATCAATGCCAGGAGATGTGCGGCTGATGGCCGTTCCTGAAGGATGTGATCGAACGATATTTGCAGCCTCGCCGATGTTGCCCCTCCTCATGCTCAAGGAGACTTAGCTTTCTATAGTCGCTGCTTTCTGAAGATACTGCTTCACCGAGCAACGGGGAGTTCTTTGCCTGATGTAGGATGCCGCGTGGACGATGGCGAGTGGCATGTACTCAAGAGCCGCTACCAGCTCCATAATGTCCTTTGGGTTTTCCGGTATCCCGAGCTTCGCCTGGAAAAGTGCTTGCGCGTGATTCTTTATCCATTGGGTCCACGGTGATGATGTCGCCATCTTCAACCATTCTGAGCGCCACGGCTCTATGCCTTGTAGTTACTATCAGAGGTCCGCGCGTACCCTGGGGCAGATATGCCCATAGTCGCCGGTCTAGTGAGCGATCTTTGTCTCGCTCGGCTAGATCCTGGCTGTTAAACGGCCCACGACGAAGGAAATGATCGTCACCAACATTATCAAGAATTAGGATCCATCTTCCATTCCGGCCATCCTGGAGCCAGTCACGAACAAGTTGATATATGTTGGCCTGGGGTCCTTCCGGCGAGCGATCTTTCCTCTATCTGCAATCTCCCGAAAGCCCTGCTCGAAACGAGCTGCATTGCCGACATGGATCCAGAAAACCCACGTTTCTGGGGAGTGCTCCTGGGCTCTCTGAGAGTATTTGATAGCAAGCTGCGATTTCCTTCCCAGTGTCAGCAATCGTATACTTCTTTTTGGTATACTTATTCTCACCCCACGCCGCCGAGGCCCACCAGTGCGATTCTAGATGCTGGTGCCAAACATTTTCCGTGAATCTGGTCAAGTAGTGCTCCGCATCCAACAAAATCCGGGTCGAGACGAAAGGGAACAGTAGATAACGAGCTCGGCGGTGGCTCCGGTCTTTCTGAGGCGGACTTCATTAGCGAAGCCTAGTCATGATCGATGCACAACTTATCATGTTGCGAATAGTCAGTGATAGGACCATGATTCGTTCCCACCTGAAGTCCAGAGTTTAGATCGCCAAGGATATTGTCCGCTCCATATGATTGCCGCAGAACAACGAGGACATGGATATAGTCACGGTTGGATAGAACCGATCCTGTAAGCGCCAGCCTTATGTAGGCCTTTAGACGCCGCACTAATGTGGTACTTGTGCTGTTTGCTATAAACACCTTACTGTCTCGGGCTGTTGGTATAGTTCTCGTCAGACATCGAACACTGCTCATTTTCACCTATAATGGCGGATCCTTTCAGTATTACCGCAGGCATTGTCGGCATCGCCGTTCCCGCTCTCCAGGGTGTCAAACTTCTCCTGCAGGACTTACAAAGCATCAAAGACGCACCTGAGACCATCAGCAATTTAAAAGACAACATCAGGGTCGTTGAACTGGCCCTGACCTCCCTCCAAGCCATTTCTGAACCAGAATGGAAGTCACTCGGCACAACCGTGGCAGACGAAGCGAAAGCCACTATCGCAACCTGCACTAAAGCCTGCGAACTTTTCCGCTCCAACCTCCAGCGCTGGACAAGTCACTCTCAAGATGGGAGAGTATCCCGGCTTGATCGAGCAAAGGTGGGGATCTTCAAGCAGGGGCCGATCAAGTCTATGTGTGAGCAGCTGCAAAGCTGCAAGATCACGATCAACTCTGTCGTTAGCATAGCGACGCTGTAAACTGAATCCTCTGTCCTTTGGATATTGCAAAAAGTTGAGACTAACTGGTGAGCGATTATGGTGCATAGATACAGCTCCCTTCGACATACACGCCTCACCGAGGAAATGAAGAAGACGATCTCAATGCGGCAGGGAGACATCGAAAGCGCCATCAGGACAACGGATAATCAGATCACTGATAACCGAACAAGACGAGATGATTTCGGCGCCGTGGACAGGGCCCAGGCACCCGCAGACCCGGAGACTGCAGACAGGCTAAGACAGATCGACGAAGAACACAAAGCATTATATATATCGAGAAGACTGCTCAATGAGCTCCTGATGAAAGTGCAGGAGGGTACTATTGGGAATGTTATGGCGAGGAACGAGAATAATTCAACGCATGTGACCTTTGGGAATCAGAACTCTGGCCTCCAGATCGGTGTCAGCAACGGTTCCATCACCGGGATTAGTTTTGGCTCAAATGAGGGCCTGAATGCCATGTGAAGTATTATTGATATGGGGTATGGATTTCATTTGCATGGACTGGATATAATCGATTCTGAGAAATATGAAGGACAGAAGTATATTTGTAGAATGATCCATTTAAACAAAACTGTCCATAGAATCTCTCATAAGTGGATAAAAGTACACGAGGAATTGCTAGCAGGGGAAGTGTGATGCTATCCACCAAGCCGTCCTGGTACGATATTCCAGATAATCACTGACGGTCTGTCTAAGCCATTGCCAGACTAACAACTTTCAACTGTAGGGTATCGGCTTGGTAATAATTCCCAATAAGGACCATGATTTGTATTAGACTGCGCGCTTACTTGTTACACAGACCATGAGAAGAATTTGTACATTAGTATATGGTGGAGCAAGATGGCTCGAGCTCATCACTCCGGACTGGGAGACCTGCGTAGAGTGAAATAGAGCTGAAGAGCAGGAGATATACAGCTGTGAAGAGAAATTGAGATCCAATCAATGTGTAAAATCACATGAAAATAGAAATGTCATCATGATGGTTACCAAAATCGAAAGGATGAATGAAGAAGTGAAGGAAAGAGTAAAGTCATTACAGGTCATCATCATCATCATACATACGAGTCGATCTCAGGCGGTAGAGTCTGAGAATCAAAATAACATGCCGTCTCAAGAGACGGGCCCACAGTCATCGTGTGGAGGTCAGAATAGCCGTCGTACCCGTGGGCCATGGTGGCCTCCATACCTACTTGAGGGTGGCTGTCAGCTGGTGCCGAAGGCAACCCGTTGAAACCCGCCTCATCCGCAGATACTGACAGTGGCACAGTAGCCAGATCTTCCCCTATTGTGTCCTGGTCAACAGCATTCTGGGCATTCTCAAGAACAAATTCCTCTTGTTGCACCATCCAGTGCTTCAGTACTTCCATGGGCGGGTGATTCCCGCCACCCTTACCACCTCGCTTCTCACTGTCTTTTCCACGTCCTCCCCGTCCGCGTTGGCACGGGTTGAAGTGAGTACGACGGAGATGGGCAGCGGCGTTGTAATTAGCACCATACCGTTTCCCATTCCGACAAGCCTTGCAGTTGGCCAGGAAGGTCTTGCCTGGAGATATATCCACACAGACCCAAACTTTACGGACCACTGAGTGCACCCGTTCGATGTGTCTTCGCAGCTCGTGCTCCCCGTGGAAGCCATCTGGCTGGTCATTGCACATGTGGCAGTACGTTTTCGGGCGCGGAGGCCGTTGTATCGAGGCCTTAGGGATKGCCGCAACTTCTTTCGAAGTGCCGTCGGACGATGAGATACGAATCATCTTGTGTTGCTCCACCAGCTTCGCTGGAGAGGTATTGCGCGACTCAAGTTTCGGTGCGATAGGTCGAGAACCCTGCGCAATCTGTTCTTGAGTTCTCCGCGCCGCTCTTGACTGCTGAGAGGCAGCCGAACTATTGCTTTCAGCAGACATGGAAGGCTTCATCTCCGTAGCAGGGGTTTCGGGGGCATTTGAAGAGGGAGGGGGGTAGAATGAAGTTGAGGAGGGTGCTGAGCAGGAAAATGGAAGAGGAGCAGAGTCAGAGATGGGAAAGGTGACGGGTTGCAAGGCTTGCTGACTTGAGTAGTCATGGATTGGAACATTGACAGGGGAAACAGAGGGCACGAATTCAGTAGAAGGCATAGAGAAGGTGTAGCTGGGGTTTAGATTTGGTCCGGTGGAGTCAAATCTGATCATGCCCAATCCACCGCATATGGAGTCGGTAGTAGTACTCCTGGTCATCTCAACGGCTGCTGAAGCCAGCGGCGCCTGTTGGTTAGCCAGAGATGGATTCGACAAATTGGTAGGGTCTGTCGAAAACTCCGGTATTGATGCTTGCAGTTGATGCTGGAGTCCATTCGAAGCAGGATCCGCAGAGAGGGCCAGCGACAGCGTAGATACGTTCGACCGGTCCTGAAAGTCGTCCAAGCACTGCCTAGCATATTCGGACGGCGAGTATTCGTTGACATGGTCAAGTCGAAGCTGCGAAATCTGAGGTCCGTAGGATTGCCGATGTCCCAAAACACCTGGGGCCAGTGGTTTTCGATGAGAGACCGGAGTCTGCTGACTCTGCGATCTAACCATGGCTGTGTGTCGGACAGAGGACCTAGTAACCGACGGGAGGGAAAAGTCGTCCGTCCGAGAAGCCATTCCAGTAGATTTCAAATCGGTTTGGGGGGCCGCTGGCGAAGACGCGTGAGAGAGCCCACGAGTCAAGTCAACGGTCACTGGTGGCTCCGGTGTCTGCCAAGTGTCAATCCATGGACTGCCGGCGGGAGAGTCAAGAGAAAGAGGATGGAGTAGCGCAAGAGAAACATGGTGGGTTATGAACGGAAGGTGGAGAAGAGGCGGGAGCAGGAGACCAAGATAGATCACATACGGTGACTCGTCGTTTTGTCGGAGGAAGACCAGAACCAGGGAGAGTCCGAGGAGTATCCTGTCGAGTCCGTTTCCCACATTTCTCGAGAGATGAACCAGTGTCAGGGATGCCAGAGCCGGGAACTGGACGGTAACTGGATGACGCCGTTGCTGGTAAGAACTGGCTCAGCCGCTGACTCCAAAGACGATTGCGCTCTGATTCCGGAAGGTGAGAGTGTCGATCCAAAAAAGCGTCCCGATACCCAGAGATGGCCCTTGTGAAGAGTTCGTCGTCGGCCATGGTGACTGCCATCGCAGGGGGATGATCCTTTGCAAGCGCCTCTCCAACAGAGCTCATGGGGGGATAGCTGCTATCAGTATCACACAAGATTGAGGAAGAAGGAATTATTCTATATGACAAGCAATTAGCACCACGAATAAAAACAAAAAGAGCAATGTGAAATGTGAATGAAATAGAGCAGACGGTTGGCGGGGCTCGGGGAAGGAGGGAAGGCTGACTGTACCGATAGATAGAAGGAAGCTACGAACAGGCAATATGGTATCCAGGCGCGACGCTGAGGGATCAGTGACTATGAGGAAGAGTGGACAATAATAGGTTGGCAAAGACGCGAGAGTGCTCAAGATGTATACAAGGACTGAGTCGGGGAGGGATATGGCCAAGATGAAAGAAAGGGTATTGACTGAGAGAATATCGCGAAGGGGACGGATGGGATTTAAATGAGAAGCAGAAATAGGAGGGTAAGATTGATTCGATGGTGAGCTATCCCCACGGCTCGGAGGTGCAGTAAAAGAAATCTTCTGAAAGTCAAAAGGGACGGAAGATCTGCCAGAAGAGAAGGTCTGAATCTGGACGTTGAAACTTGGGGAGCGACCAGGGTGGGGATGCTAGCTCAACTGGGCGTTATAGGATGGATTATGGATGGAGTAATTAGACAGATGGTTTATCTAGATTATTTTAGAGATAACTAAAGAGCCTACTAGAACAATAATAGATAGCTAGTTATTTGGTCGGTATTATGGAGTACTACTAAGGAGCAAGCTACGATACCTTCTTGGGCGATAGATCATATGGATCATGGGTTGGTGGATCAGCAGCAATCGTCGATGGGGATTGACGTCGAAGTCCACGAACTTTTAGCAGAATCGAAGGTCTGGAACCCTTCTGGCTTCTTTGGCTTGGTGCGATTGGATAGAGAGGAAACCAAATATTTCTTTTTTCATTTTTTATTTTTTCCTAATTTAATTTTCCAAATTATATGCGGATATCGGTTTGACGTCGTCACTTCACATTGATACCTCCAAGCCAACTGATGAGCAGGACGCCATCCAAAGGTGGACAAGGTAAGCTTGGGAGTTACGGAAGGAGGAAAGCTCATCTTCTAACTATAGTTAGTCGATAGTCGATCGCTACTTTGTCAGGGCAAAGTACTCAAGAGCCTAAGGCACTAACTTACTAGGTCTAGTTAAGGTCAAGTGGATTCAGGATCTGGTACGGAGTACGAAGTACTACAGACAGTGTGAATTGTCCCGTCCTCGATCGGCAGAAAAGGGGAGTGTGACCTGTGAGGTAAACTAGCAGTACCTGATTCACTGCTAACTGGCCAACGTCCATAGCGCAGGGTTCCAGGAAACGCTCCAGTTGTCCACGGTGAAATGACCAGGTCCCTTTTAGGCTTAGAGTGTCTAACCTATCTTGAAAGCCCCAGGCGGTGACGACAGTGGTCAGAAAATATTGTCCTCAAAAAATACAGGGTGAACACGGAGCCTTTCAAAAGTGAGGCGGCCAAACGGATTGCGCCGACCAAACCCCGGGCCACCAGGACAGCGGTAAAGGAAACAGGATGCGGTACGGAGTATTGTCCAATCCTCCAAGTCTCAAGATTCAGTCCTTGAAATGAAGAAATACAACAGAAGACATTTCGCTGCTATTATCATCAATGTGATTGGTTCTCATCACTATTATGGCGTCCTGAGAGCACCAAAAGATCCAGCAAGGTCTGTTGTAGTAGTGGCCAGGATTACTTGTAGGCACATTGTGTGTAGTCTTGATTCATGTGCCTTGTCAAAGTGTTAACAGACGATAATGAAAGTGTGTTAGCTCCCCTCATGATTCTTTCTGGCTATGGCCTTCAGCGCATGCAAATCCTTCCATCGTCCCCTGAGTGCGCCTACTGCGGTACCAATGAGATCGCAAAGTGTCCCAGAGCCTTTGGGCAAGTCTTTGTTCATGGTCACCCTCCAAGCCAGCATAGTTAGGCTTAGCAGTGTCAGCAACCCTTCAAGCACGTAGTACTGCCACAGTTTGCAGACCAGCTGGAAGTGACCTGATTGTACCCTTCGACTCGAGGTCTGCCACGTTGCTAGACTACACCGTATTCGGATCCGTCATTATCTTGCTGCCAATCTTCGGGCGTCTTTAGTCAAACTGCGCGTTCAGATGACGCTGTAGCCGATGGTCAGACATGGTATTCATATCCTCAGTATTTTCGAGCGCTTGAGGACAGGCCACGAGCGGTATGGCAAAGCGTTGTTTCTTGAAAGGACTAAAATAGAGACGAAGCGAAAATTGACTTAAATGAGAATCTGGTTCCTGAGGCACCAATTGTTCTGGCT